CTCAGCCGAAACCTGGCAGCATGTGGTGTGATTTGGATGACATTTTTCAGTTTGATATGAGGTTTCGCACGGCAAAGTCCAAGGACCGAGCCCGAAAATGGCGAAGCCATCCACGGACAAGTGACCCGGTGTGACTGGTGGGACATTCCTTCGGTCCAAGGTGGAATGCTTTTGGAATTCCATCCCTTTGGAAGGGCCGATCATGCTCAGAGATGTAAAACGTGCCACACCGGTCCGACCAAGTGAACTTCAAATTGCTGTTAGAATTTCTCGGGGTGTTCTGCACAGAGGCTCAAAAGGTTCCCACCGAAGGACCTAAAACATTGTTTTGAGCCAGCTGCACACTGAGGGAGAGAGAGAGAGAGAGAGAGAAGATGACCATTGTAATTTGTCCATCTCAGGTTTTTGTCGCAGTGAATATCACGCGTGGAATGCCATGGTTCAGAAAAGATGCAGAGCCAGGCTCCCGATTTGCATATATACATGGCTTTCAGGTTTGAATCTGTGAAGCTGTGGCTTCAGTTAATCCAAATGCCACCACTGCCTGCTTTGCAGGATGGTTTGTTGTGGGCGGTCGCAGAGCGGCAGAGAGGTTGAACGCAGACTGGCTTGATGCTTCGACGGGGAAAAGAGTTCAGCTTTTAGTCTGTTTGAGTGTCGCAAGATCAGCCGGCTGTACACGAGCGCAATCCATATACGTTCTGCAATGTTCACATGGAACACCATAAAAAGCGATATCCGTCAACGATACACTGTATGCTTCGCTGCTCGTTGGAAAGCGCTAGGGGGTAAGACATGTTGACCGTGTCCAATAGATCGTTTGCTTTCATCAGTTGTTCGCCCGACCCAACACATTCAGTCATCGAACAATATGTTGGACGGGGGCGAAGAGAGCCCCACTGTCTCCCCCACATCATCTTGCGGGATCACCCACTGTTTGAGCCCTGAAAGGAGAGACACGTGGGGAACCACGTCATTCATGGGCACACCCTTTGCTCCTACTGTAGTGTTTCCAAAATGCCACGTCCAAGGACAAGAAGGATTTGGGGCAGCTTTGCGAGGAGCCAAATAGAGCGTACTAGCTTTCAATGTCATTGGAGCATCTATTGTACTGTAATCATGCTACATTGCACTGTGAGGACATCACTCGCCTGGGAAACCACCTTCATTTGTTTGAGGATGAGCCGTACGTCCTCTGCAAGAGCGACACTTTGTTGTCTTTATTGGCTTCAAAACTGTAAAGAGACAATCTTATAATCCAGAAGAGAAACAGGTATTTTTGAGTAGCTTGGTCGCCACGCAGCTGCATCTCAACACACACGTAATTGGACTTGGAGCTTGAAATCAGGGAAAGTTTCTCGTCAGTGGGAGCAAGAGTTGGAGGGCAGAGTAAAAGAGCTAAAGCACTCCAAATCAGCCCCGGATCCAAACAGGCGTGGCCTCAAACGTCCTTTAATCAACTGCCAAGACCCAGTGTGCTGATGAAAACACCAGCCTGCACATTGGATATCCAAAGACAAGGAAAATGCCATGTAGAGAAGCGTCCAAAATGCGACAGTTTTGTTTTGGTCCTTGGTCCGGACAGCATCTTGATGGTACTTTGGTCTTGAGCTGCACTACTGAGGAAAAGTACTGTAGTTTCTGTCCTTGGGCTGCACTACGAGTCTTTCTGCACTGCGAGTGTCCTCCAAGTGTTTCTCTATGTGTTCGTCCTCCAGGTTTGTTTCTGATGACTGCCGTCTTCGTCTTCATTACAGTGGCCATCAGTGTTTTGAATCAGGAACACTCAGCCAAGGCCTCAGGGGGCCTGAGGCTTTCAGAGACCAAGTTGCTGGTTATATAGTCTCAGAGACCTTTCAGTGATCTTTTTCGCACCTCTTTCGCATCAAGGCTGCACTGATGATCACCTCGGGAGTCCTGCTGGGCGTGACCACCATGTGTTGTTTTTGCATGAATTTTCGGAGGATGGAGCTTCAGTGGGGTCCGATGGAAAAATGACAAAACACCTGGAATTGCGTTGGAGAAGCTGCCCCCTGGAGGAGACGAATGATGGATTGGGAGGCACTTCTCGAAGCCTTAGCTATTTTTTGCCGGTAGCGATGATTCCCAACAGGGACTTGCAGTTCGGTCTCTGGCCGAAGCGGGGGGCTGCATCGGCCGATGCCAAAACCTGAGGTGTATGGTGGAGGTGTAGAACTTAGACGAGCTTTTTCAGCCAACTCGAACCTGAACCTGTCGCAAAAGTAACAGTGTCAATTAGCCAGGGAAACAGATAACACAAAATAAAGACATGTTACATCTGTTGTAGATACAGTATGGATTTATAGTCACGTATGAAGCGATTCTAGCTTAATCAGCTGCAGAGAGCCAAAGTGTGACCGAGCCAGATGACTATAAACTTCTTTCCGTTTGTTGCCATGATCCAGACACATACAGTAGATTGAGAATCAGATTTGTGCAACCATGCAGGTGCCTCATGGTTCCATCAAAAGATTTGCAGCGAGGTGGAGCCGGAAGCAAGTTGGCTCATGTGGCTTTTCGTTTCGACGCTGCTTGAATGCGGCGTTGTTGGTTTTGTTGCCGCCTGTGGCTACACCACTGTGATTTTCATAGCTCAGCAGTGGTACACAGACAGTTAATCACCTATTCACTAATCCGATTATAAGTTAAGTTTCCCTATACATTTAGGAACCACATGATTAGTGCGAGCACGAGCTATCCTGCGTCCTAGGTAGTAGCTACTTAAGCTACTAACTACCTCTTCTCCTAGCTATACCTAGCTACTTCCTACCTCCACACGGCCTACCCCCCCCGTGCAACAAAACTCAGGTATGGATTGAACTTGGCTTTTGAGTTTCATCAAGATGGTCCAAGCTACTTCATCCTCAAGCCAAAAGCAGAGGCAAACAGTTTCGGCATGCATTCCTTGCATTGCAAAGTCAACCTGATGTGCTTCCTGTTGGAGTTTTTGCAGGTTTCGGGGACTGAGCAAACAGGCCAAGGGGTCGACCAGGTCTGAGATCAACGTACCCTTGTGTCCAGCCTGAGTCTTGTATAGACGCCAAGAAGTCAGGCAGAAATTCAAGACTTGATAAAGATCAAGGCAGATATTTTGAAATCAAAGGCCATGACGTCCGTAGCTTATGAGGTGTGGAGGTGACTGTCAAAAGACAGGCATCTTCAACTAGATTTGTTTGACTGCCCGCATACGACGGGCGAGACGTATCATCACTGTACGTAGGTAAACGTAGTTATTGTAGAGCTACACTGCAGGGAAGATCCCAGCTCTTGGTTTTCGCTGGACAATACTGTGGAGTTCAGGGCAGGGTGGCATTTTGTCAGTAGCTTCATGTATAGGTGGGAAGAGAGCTCACTCTGGCTTTCTCTCTATTCAATTCGCATTCATGAGTCATGATCCTTTGTGTGTCTTTCAAAATGCCAACGCAGTCTAGAGCCTTGGGCTTCGTTCACTTTGTTCACCATGTTCAGTGCCACAGAATCCAAGAACCTTTGTGATTCATGCCTTTGTCATTTCTATGACTGCAATGATCCTGAATCCTTACCAGACCATGGCCTTCTACCACGGCACCTTCATGAACTCTCCGACGGGTGAAGGCACTGAGAACAGCAGATTGTGGATGTCGAGCTCTGCCAGGATTTCGTGGCCTTGCTGGCTGAACCCCTTGGGCACCACTACAGCAAAGCTGGAACGCCGGCTTCCCAAAACCCTTTGATCGATGGGATGTTTGGAAGATCGCACAAATTTCGCCAGGTCGCGGCTCATGGGCCTCTTTGGAACTAAGGCCGTGCATTCAGGTCCGGAATCTGGGTTGTAAAGACAAGATGGGTGTTCAGCTTTGAAACAAGCACTGACACCTTGTCGAACTTTGGCAGACTTTGTCACTCTTTCACATCTGCGTCACCTTGTCGAACTCCTGGCCTGTTTAAGGCATAAACTGTAAATATGACTACATGACCAACTACTAGATTTGTCGTGGATGCGGGCGCTCATACACCCTGGCCGACGGCAGGATGAGTTGGGGATTCAAATGGACGATGATGAGCTGAAAGCCATGCTCGAAAAGGCCAAGAACTCAAGAGCTCGAACTCAGAATTCGGAGCATGACAGTACGCTGTGTACTACTGAGAGTGCTGATGTTCTCAAAAAGCGATTTCAAGCTGATGCAGATGATGTCGCTTCTTCAACGTTGTTGCGGACTGAGCATTTTGCTGAGGCTGGAGCCGATGCAGATGATCGTTTGAACATGGACGCATTCTACAACGTCATGCGTGCTGATGCGGATGGATAGACAAAGGAAAATCAAAGCGTTGTTGCGGACCATCAGACTATCTGACTATCTCAACTTCGTCGTCCAAAGCGTTTGTTCCTCTAAAATAGAGCCTCCCACACTGGGGAGGCACAATCTTCTTCAATGTGTTTGGGCTTTGGTGCAAGAGAGACTTGGTGCGTTTGGAGCAGACGTTCCACCTCCATTTGCCTGACGTGTTCCCGGAATGTAGATGGGAGACGTGTAACTGCTGCAGCTTTAGGCTCGTTCTTACCCGGGTGATTGGATCCGCAACTCAACGAGCGATGGAAATGTGAATCGTCCATTCAGCGCTGCATATCCCCGGTGCCACGTTCAGTGGATTTTCATTTTGACTGCAAGTTCCGAGCTTGAGTCGGACCATCTCAAAGCAGACGAAGGAGTATAGGGCTTGGCCATTGCTTCAACCTCGTACATCCAACGACCTTTTTGCACAATGTATATATATATATATATAGATAGAGACTCTAGCAAGATCATCAAAACTTATTTGGTTGTTCCGACATAATGTGCTTGGTCCCCTGAAGGATTTGGGTTGTGTGCTGCACTGGGACCTTTTGAAGTTCTGCAGCTCCAATGGAGCAGGGCCTTCGGGCACTCCGGCAGCTGTCGGCAGGTCTAAGCAATGAAGCTGCCGTGTTGAAAGCTGCATCTCTAGTCCCAGTTGAACCAGACGAGCCTCAGGCCGGCTTGGGAGTTTGGCATGATCGGAACAGTTTCATATCACCTATGAAATGGCCGCAAAGAAGTCTAAACACGGGGAATTCCAAGCCAGAGGTTGAGTGCAGCGATGACTCATGAGTGTTATGTGTGGAATGTGTAGAAGAAGCGGATAATGGTGGCCACATGCCACATACGCTTCCTCAGGAGCGGTGTGGAAAAAACATGCGGCAACTCTCAGACAGCGAGTCGGATGAGGAGCTGCAGGACGCTGGCGAGGCTCAAAAGCTCAGCGAACTCTATACTTGGGGCCGAGCTACAAATTATCAATTGGGATATGGTGTGAGCGGTAATGAGCAGCAAATTCCGAAGTTGGTGCAATTGCCAACTGGAGCACAAGTGATGTCAGAGACTCAGTTTCAGTTTGAATGCTGGAGCAAGGTCTTGAGCTGCGCCTGCAAAAAGGTTGTGGTGGTGATGTCTGCATGTGTGAGCAAAATCCACAGCACCTTTGCGAGTTCTTTCCTCATGAATCACAGTTTTGGGCTGTAAGGAGTACTGTAGCAGCCATTGAAACACCTTGGCTGCAAGACTCCTCAAACACCTCGTTGTAGGAACAATCACATGTACTGTACCAAGAAGCGAAGGAGTTTCCAGAAAAACACCCGAGCCCAAACGCCCGGTGACACACCTTTTGGCGCATTCTGCGCTCCTCAGGTCTTTGTCCTGTGGACGTTTTCACAGCACAGCCGTGACGGCCTGCGGCCGCGTCTTCACTTGGGGCTTCGCCGGTGCCAGTGGGCGCTTGGGAATTGAGTCATTCCGTGAGGCCGTGGTGGTGCCAACACCCCTGCCAGAATTTGGGCCAGGAAGACACCATGCTGTAAAGGTGGCCACTGGCATTCAACACACTTTGGCCATGACAGCTGCAGGGAAGATCTTGGTTTGGGGCTCCAACGAACGAGGTCAGCTTGGAATGCCTGGAGAAAGCTGCTTGAAGCCGGCAGTTTTGAAGGCCTGGACTTGCAAACTTGGGTGAGCCTTCCTTGTGCTACTCACAGAACTCTTGCCTCATTCACACAAGATCCCTTTCGATCAAAAGGGCAGAGATTGGCATTCTAAAGAGTGTTGCAACATCAGACACATCACATGATATGACTGTTGCTCTTTGGCCCTTTTGACGTCTGACAAGGCAGCCTCCTTACAAAAGCATCGTGTCAGTGATATTGCAGCTGGAGCTATGCACTCGCTGTGTACCTTGCCACACCCCTCACTGCTTGGGCCCTACCAGGGCTTGTAACAGGGGCTGGAAAACCAACAGAAAAAGACTATCCTGTTTACAACATGCAACAGACTCTTAACTCTTAAGGACATGTCCACCTGATGGTTTCTACCTAGTGAGTAGTCAGAAATGTCCGTGGAGACCCCCACGTTGTGGATGGGATGCTGCTTCCCCGAGCAGTGAAGGTATTGCTGGAGAATGCGGAAGCGTTTTTGCCTGGGGCTGCAACTTGCAAGGTGCTTTGGGCCTTGGAGCAGCACCAACTGGTCCTTCTTCCACGAATCAGCCTCAATCTTTGCCTCACCTGAAATCTGCAACCTTGATCACAGCAAACCCGTGTGGACACGTAAGTCTTTGTTTGCTAATGTCCCATGGAGATGCGATGATGTTTGGATCGAGCTCACCGGGCGACAAGACGGACCAACGATTCTTTCTACCGTCGCGAGTACGGCGCAGGGAGCCCAATCCCACCGTCAGTGACGTTGACTGGCAGCTGCAACGAGGGAGTCACTTGAGCCCTTTGCGTTGGGCAACTCTCAGCGACTCTGAAGGCCGGTAAAAATAGTGGTTTTAGGATTTTGATGAAGGATTATTGGTTTTACACTTCCAGGGATTCTGGGATTGTTTTCAACCATCGGCCAGCCGAAATGTCTCATGGTCAGCTTTTCGAAGTTCGGCCCACTTGTTGAAGGCTTTGGAATCGACACAGATGGGCTCCTTTGGGTTTGGCCTACCTCTTCTCGGCCAGTGTCTGCAGAGCTCGTGTCGGTGTCCCTCAGACGAGAGGTGCGCTCCAGATTGGCGAGTGTGGAAGATCCAGGATTCATTTTGGTGGAAGATGGTGAAGAGATTGAAGTCTTGGTTCAAGAGGAGGCGTCACGGGAAGTCCTTGCAAGTGTCAATGAGGTACAGGAAGTGGGCATTTCAGATTTGGGTGTGTCGTTCAAAGCTGGCATCACTTGGGCCATTGACGATTCGGATGCTGGCCATCTCTGGCAATTGAAGCGAGCAAAGTCCAAAGGCTCTTGGCTCGCTGAACGCTTTGAGTACTTGGCCCAGGTGTCCTGTTTCGCTTGTGGCCCGGAGCACCAAGCGGCCGTGACCAGCTACACTGTTCCGACCAGCCACAGCGAAGAGAAAGGCCTTGCTGTGAGCGAGCTGGGCGATGCATCGGGTGCGGTCGTCCGGGACGGCGCCGTCTGCGCCGTCCGGTCGGTGCCATCCCTGCAGCAGGTGTGCGAAGAGAAGCTTTGTGCCAAGCTGAATCCTCGATCCTTTGGTCTGGTCTGTGACATTGCTTGGGAACTGAATCGGCCTGCACTGCTGGACCGTGCCTTTGGATTCTTGTGTGCAAACGCACCTCTGATGTTCTCCAAGCTACACCTGCCAACCTTGAGCCAACTTCCTATTGAGGTCTTAGCAGCCTTTGAGATGGCCGCCAAAGCCAAGCAAAAGTTGAAGGTGGCTAAGGTGACTGTCCCAAGCGAGACACCTATTGAAAAGGAGGTGAGGAGGGAATCTCTGCAGGAGGCTTGCCCTCAAGACTTTGGATTTGATATTGATTTGGAGGACCCGATCTTGAGAGAGCTCATCCACTTGTGCGAAAATGGCCAATGGTCCGTTGTGTCATCTGCAGCTTTGTCACTGTTGGCTACTTCTATGCTAGGTACTGCTGCAGGAGAGGGCCTCGTTGCCGAGAAGTTGGGCTTGTCATTTGCCTTGTCCGAAATCGAACGAGTGGAACTTGAAGCTGAGACAGAAAAGGAGGAGGCTCAGGCTCGCCCGAGACGCCGGGCATCTCAGACTTCTCCACAGGTTGCATCCAAGGCTTCGCCAGCCATGTCATCCAAGTCTTCTCCCAAATCTTCTGCGATGTCTCCACCTCTGCAGCACCAAAAAAGCCCAGCTCTTGAGGCTCAAGGCTTTGATTGGGTGGAGGTGAAGAATGCCAAGCGCAAGAGCTCTGATTCAAAGCCGATGACTCCCAAAGTCAAAGCAGAATCCCCAACTGTGCCCCCAAGCCAGCCAAGTCCCAAAGGTGTTCGGCCCGTGGGACGTGAGGTGAAGGGACAGGGCAAGACCTCATTGATGTCGTTAGATGATGGGCCCTCGCGGCATCTCAGATTGACCGACTTCATGCCTCGGAGCGGAAAAGGGAAGGAGGGAAAACGAGAGGCGAAGACGCCCGAAGCTGGCCCTTCAGCCATTCTGGTCTCGGCTGTGGAGTCAGCTGGAAAGGATGGGGCTTGGGCTTTGCCGAATGTGGAGCAAAGTCCACTGTCTGACATTTTGGAGGCTCATTCAAAGGAGAAGAGCAAAACCAGCAAAGCAAAGACTGGGTCGAAGCCGACGCCGAAGGTCATGACTTGCTCTTGGGGTCGGGATGCCTTGCCCTCCGAACAGACGAAGAATCAATCCATCTCGGAGATTCAGCAGGAAGAAGAGCTTCTCCGTGAGCACGATGAGATTCTGGAGATTGAGGCCAGGTTGTACCAAGAAACTGGTTCAAAAACATTTTGTTTTTGATGTATTTGTAGACTAGACAGCTACACTGCCTCCAAGGCCATGTTCGCAGCGCTGGAGGTTGCCGAGATCGAGGAAGCTCTTGAGCAGTCTCGTGTTGCCAATGGTGAGCCTAAAGTGAGTCAGCCACAGGTGAAAAGCCAGAAAAAAGCCGAGCCGCGATCCAAGAAACGAGCCGAAAGATCGACTTCAGGCCAACTTGGCCGATCTCAACATTCCAATCGCTCCGAGCGGGTTCTAGATTGGTGGGCACAGAGCGACTGGTCTGGTTGGAGCTGGGACTCTTGGGACTCAGGCAAAACAGCTCGCTGGCAAAAACGAGACCCAGGCCGCCCAGGCCCTGCACCTGACGAGGCCACGCAAAGAGACGAGTGAGCAAAGATGCGGACAGACTCACCTCTCCGAATTTTCCCGCGTGGCATGGAAAAAACGGTGAGGAAAGCCAGTTTGGATGTCAGTTTGCTTGAAAGAGCCATCGTGTTTAGAAAGAGAGGCATGTTATGGCCCTGCAGCTTTCCTAAACCTGAAAGACCTGAAGGTTGCTTGATTTCGCTTTCAAACACATACAAAAAGTTTTCAAACAAATATAAACCTTGCGACTTGCGACACAAGTTTTTGAAGTTCTGTGCCGCTGACCTCATGATTTCGACGATCTTTTGCTCCCAGCGATGATTTCAGTGCAGTCGCAGTCCCTTCTGCTGGTGCAGCAACGCTTTGCTGAAGTTAGTGGCAAGGTGCTTGGACTTCTACTGTCGAATTAATTTTACAGTGACGGCCTTCCCACACAAGTAAACGGCAGACACGCCATGCTTACTGTCGCATGCAGCCTTTCTTAAACATAATAATAATCCGTGCTTGAATAAGGCCTTGTGCAAGTACCAGATGAGGTTCTGGCAATGTTGCGGATCGTCGGTCACCAAAGCACAAGACAAGAATATACAGCATACCCAAACGGATCAGACACAAGCCGAATAAGCACCTAAATAAATCACCTTGCTCGGAGTGAACATACTCCTAAACATTCTTTTGCCCTGTGTTTTTAAGAAAGCACAAGCTGTCCGGAGCATTTTGGGCAGTTGCCCCTTATGCACTCTCGCAGGCGTATTTCAGAGAAGCCTTGCAAAATACCGAGGAGAGGTTTTGAGATGTGCTTGCAGTTCCGCAACTCCTGCTCTTCAGTGCTTGTTTAACTTTCTTGTCAAGTTCCTTGGAGCCTGTTTTAGTACAGGATTGTGCAGCTGAGCTCTTTGGAGATCGGGAGGCCTTTGTTCGAGACATGCTAATTGTTTGCCGTCCTCCAATCGCACAATTAGGGCGCTATTAGGTGGAGGCCATCACAAGTAGGTTGGAGGCCATCGCTACAGTAACAAGAAGCTACTAGGGGCTCCTGGCCTTACTAGGAGCAAGGACGCTACTAGGGGCTCCTGGCATCGCTACTAGTGACAAGAAGCTACCGTAATGTGGTTTTCCATGCTCCAGTTGTCCCTCCGAGAAGCGCTGAAGACTTCCGAGGAGCTGAAGCGATTGCGAGACGTCCCGCTCACAACTTGCATAGTCCAGGGTTTCTCAACAAATCATACTTCATTTGAGTTGTTTTTTGCTGGACAACTTCCTTTCGATCCACGCTTTTCCTGACTTTGCAGGACCGTGCAGCTCAACTGACTGCTGAGAACAGGGAGGCAAGGAATCCAGGAATCGATAGATCTGGCTCAATATGCTCCAGGGTGATGTGCAACTGTAGGTCTGGCGCACAACCACGCTATTCAATAATTCTAGATTCTAGCAGAAAAGCATTTGTTCTGGCTGAACATTGCAAAGTCTGTGGAGAGTCTTTGTTCTTTTGTCCTTGATGATCAATGTCCTGCAGTTTCTCTCGATGAGTAGAACTTGAGCAGCTGTAGGAGGAGATCCTTGCAACCACGGACAAACACAACAGACATGAACGAAACACCACATATTCTATTATATATCAGCTACGCAAAGGATTGAGAGTTCCTGGTCCAGTGAATACGATCAAAGAGACTTGTCCAGCTTTCCTTTTTTGTGTCACCAACAATATGGACAAGGTATCAGCAAGGTCTCGCAGTTACATTGACAAACAAGAACCGAATCAACCAAAGTGCTGAGAGCTTTCGTGCGGCCAGCTGCAGCTGTGCCTGTGGATGTCATGGCAGCAGATGGCTACACTATGGGAAAGTTGCCTGTCTGACCATTTCGAGTGTGCTACGTGGCATCATGTGGCCCTTACCTTTCGCTCGGAATAGAGCGCTGAAATGACTTTTGGTTCCTTTTCCGCAACTCCCATATGTGTGTTTGAAGAGAGTACAGTGCGATGAAAGGATGTGGAATCCATCCTTGTACATTGGCTCCATTCTGGACAGCCATGAGCACCGGGTGGCAATACTGCCAAAGCGAATAAAGCACCTTGGTGGATAGTCACCATATAACGTTGTATCAGATCAGTGTCCCCCATCAACACCTTTACCAGATGTACTATCTTGATAGGATAGTCACTTTGGGTAGCCTAACATGTAGAACTTTCAGTTTTCTGTTTCTCTGCATCGTTGTAGGCTGAACCGACACGTATGGCTTAACAACAAGACCTTTTCAAATCCAAAGCCGAGTGCAAAAGAAGCATGACTGATGTAAGACCCCGTCCCAAGCTGTCTCAATCTTTGGGCCACCCGAATATTAGTCTTGCTCTTGACTTCAATAGAACCACACCTTTGGCGAGGGTATCCCTCACTTTTGGTTTCATATGCAATGGAGAGCATCTGACGTGTGTAGCTGAGGGACTCAATGCCATCTCCAGAACCGAAGCCAGGGGACTCTGGATGGCTCTATCGAGTGCTTGAGCCATACTACTCGCGGGAATGAGCCATGGCAGCAATGCATGCCTTTCACGAGCTGTGAGGAGTGCCGACTTCGTTTCAAGACGACTCTCGTCTGTCTAGGTGTGGACAATGTGATGTCGGCCATGCTGGAGGGGCAGATCTCATCTGGGGCTGCCTGGCCTCGGAAAATGGTCCAAGAGATTTGCAGCCTCTATCAGGCCGATCGAAAGTCTGTTGGAATGGAAAGATCGAAATGCTCGGCGGCCAGGTGCCTGTGGCGTTGCCCACCTCCTCAGGGGCCTCAGCCTTACATGTGGCCTTCTTGGCTTGCAACTTGGGACCACAGGACTGGGGGAAGTAAAAGGAGATTTGCAATTTTGAAGGATGATTGGTGGAGACAATCATGAAGTTGACATGGAGCAACCAAGAGGGAAAGTCATGTTGGTCTTGTTTCCTTGGCAAGTCAACATTAAACTCTACAGAAGTATGGAAGGGGAAGGCTTGGGGTGAGCCGGACCCACGCTGGCAGAAAGTGCACAAAAGAGTGCATGAATGGAAGGTACTACTTGAGTCTAAGAGCAGTGCTGACATGGGCCACAGTCGCACACATGTGTTGCAGGGTTTGTGGACCGCCGCAGCGCCGCAGGACACTGTACTGTTGCCTGCTCTCACGATGGTGGTTGGGAGCTCAGACGAAAGCAGGACCAGCATGAACTGACGCCTATCTCACCCTTTTGCTGTGAAACCCACAAGGAAAGACATGTACAGCAACTCTTCACTGAAACCCTTCGAAGCTAGCTTGGAGGCCATCGCTACTAGGGGCTCCTGGCCATTACGAACGTAACAAGAAGCTATATATACTAGTAACACGAAGCGCTCCTCTCAATCAATCCGAAGTTGTCCCAGGCTGTGGCGAATATGGTGAAGATGGTGGGTGCGAAGCCCATCTACTGTGACTGCGCTGAAGACTCGGTGAACCCGGGCGTCCCGGAGCTCCTGGAGAAGGCGACGCCACGCACCAAGGCCGTGATCGTTTGCCATACCTATGGACGCCTAGCTGCGCCTAGCTTCTTTCATGAGTGGAAATCCCCTCTTTTGCAGATGAGACTCTTTTGTTGAACCGCAATATCAGAGGGTTTCTTTGCCAAAATCTGAGGAGTAGCGTGCAAGGACATTGTGTCTATCAGAGATCTCTGCAAAGAGAAAGGCTGGTGGCTTGTTGAGGCCTTCCCGGACGCCCGGGAATGAAATCTGATTGTTCCCTTTGAGGGTGCAGCCCTACGTTTCGCACAGTTGGCCAATACTCGTTGATCTTGGACAGATTATTCTAAGCAATCTTGAGCACGCGGACGTGGGTTAATTTAAGAATCGCGAAGACAAAGCACAATACCAGGATCGGTAGAAGGAGAAAGTCTCAATTGATCTTTGTGCCTGTTGGAGGACATCTGCGAAGCTATGGGAACCCGAGCAGACAATGGAGAGCTGGTGGGAACTTTTGGAGACTTTGCGGTGACCTCGTCCCATGGATTGCACTTCTGGGTGAGACTTTGCGAAACGATGTGCATCAAGGAACTGCAACTGCAAAAGAGCTATTCCGTGAAGTGGATCTCCCAATGGCAAAAAGTGGACCCAACTGAAAATCTAGTTGCAGGGCACTGATTTTAAGATACAGGTTCAAATGGGGCACATGGTCTAGCTGTCCGTGTGGAGTTTCCGTCTTCCTTCTCTCCAGCTGCGGTTTTTTGAACAAAGAATGGATGCGGCAGGCCCCGCACTCAAACAGACATGCGAGCCGCAGTAATCCAGCTGGAACTTTTTGGACAACCTGAGAAAGAATGAACAGGATACCCACGGGTGCTGATGAATTTAGAAATCCTGTAGCCATCCGAGGCTCTATGCTAATAAACCCATCACTGCCGGAGATGGAGGTTGGGTCCATGCCAGGGACAAGAAGCACCATGACCGGCTGAAGTCCCTTGTTAACCATGGCTTCGAGACATGGCAGCAAGCAGCCCATTCTTATTCCAAGATGTCTTCAGTCGTTCCAAAATTATGAACAGCTCCGACTCAACCAAGCTTTTTTGCAGTTCCATAAAAAACCAAGCAGTTTTTCTACATGTGCTTTTGCGCAAGCTCTGAAAATGACGCAAGAAAAAGTGAACAGCCAAGGATCCAGCTTATCATTTTCTCCACTTTGAGGTTGCCCCAAATGCCAAAATGAATGGGCTTGGTGCGGCCTTTGTGTGTTCACAGGCGCTGACGTAGTCGACGTAGTCGAAGGATGGATGTTGGTTCAAAGACCCAGCTGTTGGAGCTCTTGCTTTCCTTAAGCCCGCAGCATCAAGGCTAGCTTCGCAGCTTCTGGTGATGGAAGTCAGACTGCCTCACCTGTAGGTGAAGACTCTCCCTGAAGTGATGCAGTACAGGGGCAAAATCGCTAGCTGGTACCGACAAGAACTGGCTGATGTTGCTTCAAGCTTGCGCTGCATCGAACAGAGGTGCGTGGCTTTGTGGTGTTGAATCCTGAGTGTTTCGATATGTTTTGACTCAGAGAGAGAGAGAGAGATTTGACAATACAATAAAGCACTGACATGTTGCTTTTGTGTTGGAAATGCAACACAACTGATATGGTCGCTGGTTTGGTTTTCAGCCAACTCTAGCTCTTTGGGCGTCAGCTGGTCGCAGGCAGATTGATGCACCTTGGGTCTTCGGCGTTGAGACGACGAACCGAAAAGCAAGGGATGAACTGCGAGATCATCTCGCTCTCTATGGCATCGAGACGAGGAGACTTCGCGGACGAAAAACGCGTTCGATTTGACCCCCTGAAGCTAATGATTTGAAGCTGACGGGAAAGACCGCATCCGACACGATGAGAGAAAACGATGATGAGGCATGAAACGTTCGAAATGGCTTTTCATGAATGCAATGGGGTGTGCAATTATGCCTTTTCTTAAACTTGCTTTTTGGCTTTACTTGCTGCCATCATTCTTGCGCAAAGAGCAGCCGGCTCATTCCGAGAAATGCATTCTGAGTTCGTTCCGGCAAAGCCAACTTCATGGCGTTACTTAGGTTGGCCTCATCCAGTTGCATGTGTGTCTATACGTGCATGATGCCAATGACACCTCAATTGTGACAATGCTCTTGAATTTTGGAATAGAACTGCTGGCTGCCATTTCTGCCAACTTCAACATCCATATTGGAAAAAACCGAGGAATTACTTCTATCCTCTTCACTTGGAGCCAGCGAACTTCTATGGCGATGAGGTCGGCGTCTATGATATTCCTTTGCCGCGCTCCGAGCATTTGGCCCAGGCCTGGCCGCGCTGAGGTGAGGTGAACACCACACGTACGCCCAAACGAAGCAAGAAGACCAAAGAAGGTGCTCCGTTTGTAGCGAACATTGCTCCTAGTAGTACGGCCAGGAGCCCCTAGTAGCGTTCTTGCTCCTAGTAGCGATGCCCTTTGCTCCTAGTAGCTTCCTTGTTCCAGCTTCACCACCCCAACCCGAACGATGTGCTGACACCCTTCGTCTTGCTACGGTCTTGCTTCAGATCTTTCAGTACTTTATCTGGCACGTTGCAATGCATCAAGCCTTGTGATTACTGGGTTAACCCAGTCCTGCCCCAGACTGGCTTCTACTTGCCCACCCACTCGTTTTTGCAAGCAGATGACATCAAGTACATTTGCATCATGGCAGAATCCGCGAGAATTTGTTTCTTGTGAATTGTGAATCCGAAACATGGGCGCCTTGCGGGTCAAGAGTTGATGTTGGGAAAGATTTACAACTGCACTTTTTGTTTGAGTTGTGGTGGCACAGGTTATGCCAGTCTCCTGCAAAGGTACTGTGATTCGCGCTTTCTACAAACCTGATGCCGCCATACCAGCACCTTCACGGAAGCATGGTTGGGTGGATGCTGAGCGATCCAAGCTCTTGAATTGTCAGCCATAAAGTCTCACTGCAAAAGCCAGTTTGAGATTTGCAAAAAGGTGTTCATCCTTCAACCATGCGTATGATGATGCGACAATAGTGGCGAAGCTTTTCCAATTGCTAGGCAGCATCCTTGTTTACCACGCTCTCAGAGTGCTGTGACAAGCAGGCCCTCGCTATGTTTTGCTTTGGAGACTCTGACTTTTGCCCTTTGCAACCACAGGTGAGCCGTTGGCGGATCAAGGGCAGAGCTCCGTCCGAATGCCGCTTCCGCGAGAGGCCAAGCGCAACGATGATTTGCAAGAGCAACTTCGAAGCTCTCGGGTGCGGGAGCCGAAGACGTGTGTTCGCGAAGTAGCCCAAATGGCAAAGGACAAGTCCTCACGTCTTCAATGAAACACGAATGAGAGGAAGGATCGTGCGTGGGAAGACGCAGGAATCTTAACCGATTCAGTGAATCCAGGTGGAGGCGCAGGAGCTTCGGGAAGAGATGCTCAAGATGCGAGAGGAGTTGCACCATGCCGAAGCCCGACGTTTGAAGGTGCCCATGGGGAAATCTTGTGACTCATCAGTTGAGCTGATCAGTTCGCTTTGATCCCTCAACAGATCCTTTTTGCAGCTTCCTGGTTCACCAGTTTCTCGCGAACTTCCAGGAGCTTCCAAAGCTGAAGAGTGAGCTCAAGCAAAGGCTCGCCAGCCAGGCCAATGGCGGGGCACTTCAGGTTGCCGAAGCGTCGGACGCGTAAGGTGAAGCTTTTCAGATGTGCCTGCATCAGTTGTTGTTTTGGGAGAACCAACAGCAGCTTGAACAGCAAGCTTGGTTTTTTTGGGGCTTCGTTTGATCTTCCGAATGCCATGAAGACAAGCAGATAAGGCGTGCGTGAGGGACAGACGGACCTGCCTTCAGATTGGACGGATTGGATCTCGAGTTTGCAGGCGGAATACCATCTCCAGGAGGTGGAAGAAGAGGTCCCATGGCTTGCGCTTGCGAAGAGAGACCGTGTCTTTTTATGGTGTCCGTCATGGCTTCTCAGTGTGCACTGGTGCATAAGCAATGCTGAGTGATACAACAAATACACCATAGCGCAAAAGCTTTTGCTTGGAGGAGCACTTATCACATGAGAGCTATGCTAAATGGACTTCTGTTGCCAATGATGGGCTATGATTTATTATACAATTATAAGGCGTATAAGTCTTGTGGTCATGAATTGGCTCAAGTTCAAGCTCCTTCCATGTGAAGAGCAGGATATGCAGGCCCCTTAGATTTGTCAGCCAAGCCAGGGCCCCTGCTTGAGGCACGGAGACGGGTGGCCGCAGCGGAGCGGCACTTTCATGAGCAGGCCAACGGGCTTGGAGTGGGCTAACGGTGGTCAGGGTGGCGTGTTGGTTTTCGAGACCTCCGATGTCAGTGTCAGGGCCAACTCTGTCAGGTGAGGGAGCTGGAAGCCCAGTTGGATCAGGCTGGATGGTGTGAGCTTTTGAGTGTTTGGACGGCCGCAGCACACTGTTTCTATAGGCAGGAAGACTTCTGGAGCGCTGGGGTTTCTGGAAATCCGGATCACTTCAGATCTGTCCAGAGCAGGCACGGGAGACGAACGCGCAATTGGGACGGAAGTGCTTCGCCAGCTACCAGGCGGCTTCCGGACAGGGTAGCATGCAGCGGCGTCATTCCATGATCGTGGGAGATGGTCGACTTTCCCATGCACTTTCCCAACAACGAAAACCCCATTCTCCATTCTGTGTTTACTGAAAGAACGAACGCGGGGATCCTGACAGGTCATTGGTCGGAGTTTTTGCGAAAGAGAAGATGACTTCTTCCAAGCATAGGGCCACACACGACGAGCGTGCTGTCTGCACACTCAGGCGACGGCCCAAGCTGAAGGGACTTCTCGCCAGTCACAGTTCCAGTCGCATCAGCTGCAACAGGCCGTGTGGATTCGAACGGGGCGTGGCCAAAACCTTGGCAGAAACCCTGGTTTGATGATGTTTGATGTGTATCCATGTGTCTTAATGTTCTCCTTGGTCACACTGGCTGAGGGGTCAGATTTGTAATCTGAGCATATCTGAGCCATTTCCAAAATTCCATGCCTTCTTTTGCACCAGTCGAGATTCAGGACCTGCAGATGCTACATGGACAATGCTTCCGACTTCAACAGGACCTCAATGACCTTTCAGCGATATATAGTACAGCATGAATTGTCGTGTCAGTCAAAGAGACTATATAGTCATTTAATGGTTTCTTGGATTGAACCGAACCTCATTTGTTTGCTAATGTTTGGTATTCAACACCCCCCTTGCTGGGATTGTTCTTTATCTTTTCTCGCCGTTGCCGTTTGGCTTCCAGCCATCCTGGGCAAAACAGGGAGAAAGAGGATGAGCGTACAGGCAGGGTGTTATGAGCCGACGGCCGACGAGATTTGAAGCAAACGTATCCAGAAGTTCTAGACTTCGGGAACCAGGCATCTCACGTTTGTGACTATCTCTTTGGATCCATCAGGCAGCACCATTAGAGTCTTGAAAGCCCTTGTGGGCTGGGTTGGATGAACGGGGTTTGCCTCCTTTTGCCCATTGGGCAGGCTGGATCTGGGGGAATTCCATTAGACAGCAACGTCAATGATACGTCCGGAACCCAAGCCCAATGGCCATGCGATGCTCAAGCCACGTTGGCTGTTCATGTTTGCGAATTCAGGTCGGTGATCCACATACAGTCCAGTGCGCATGAGTGCAACTCATACAAAAGCATAATGTTTGCTGTTCAAACACATTTTCAAACACATTGGCTCCAACAGTTGCCTTGCTAAGCCGGCCAGATCCGGCCAAGATATCATGAGATCGCGGTGTTCAACACCTTAACCGAACTAAACATTCTTGACATGAGTTAGGACCATAGAGCATGAGATACTTATATAATTGCATGTCTCTCTCAGCACCTGATGAGAAATCAATGTCTTTGGGTTGCGGACCGTTGCGGAGCGAAGATAGTCGCAAGGCTGAAACTTAGAGACCGAGCCTCCAACGTTTGCAAGCAGGATGACATGTACAAGCTTCATCAGCCATCAGCTCTTTTTTCAGAAACACAATCAGAACCACTGCCACTACATGTGCAGACTGAGGACACCAAACAATCCTTGTCCTTCTTCTTTAACCAGTTGCTGAAGCGCTGGCTCTCTATTATTACCAGCAAGTTATCACTGAGGCTAAGTGCTCTCACAAAGCCAGATGCCCATCATGACGCAATCCTGGTGGGTCTTAGGCCTGTGCCTGCTCGCGTGACATAGCCGGAACACTCTTTCTTGGAACTGGGATGAGCACAGAGGAGATGACTGGTTTCTTTGTTTTCACTTTCAATCTGAATGTGAGTGAGAGCATTTCTGGAGCAAGACACTTCTTCTCACTGGGGTCACTGCACTCCTGCAATCATTCCTCGTTTGAGAACACAGCCAGTCCGCGACCCCTTTCTTATATCAATCCCGGAGTGGGAAAGAACGCCCACGGCAAGGGGATTCCTAGTGGACCAAGCGAAGGCCACGTCAAGGGTCTGCACAAAAACTCTGATTGTAGGTCTTTGAGCAGTTTAACTCTGAAAAAGGAGGGCTCGGTTTCATCTCTTTGTTTCTTTCCAAACGGAGCGGTCTGGCCTCTCTTTCAGGTTGGTGAGCTCCAAAGCTGAGCTGTTGGGGAACCACCAGGGCCTGGCAGAGGTCGTGTCACGACATCTGGCCAGTGGCCACCCAGAGGTGGGGGGCAGAGGGAGCGTTCTGGCACGAAGCTTTTCGACGCTTTAGAATTAGAACCAGGAAATGCAGTTGGATGCCAATTCCATGTGATTTCTGGGAGGTTGTGTCCGCAGCAGCGAGGTCGTTAGGCAGCCTAGGCCGGAGATGCCATTCCTGTGGACTTGTGGCATGTTTGCACCACCAGGATGTTTCTTTACCAGACTCTTTAAGACGCGATGGCCTCCAACCTAATAGCGAGGGCCTCCAACCTAATAGCAAGGGCCTCCAACCTAATAATTAGTAATAGCGATTGACTGCCAAGACTGCTGATGTCTTTTCATGAACTTCCGCTTCCAACGCGAAACCGAACGAAACCACGAGTTTGTTTTATTTTTTGAACGTCCTCCAGGGGAGGCGGGAGCCCGCTATGCAGACCACGTTGCAGCGGTGATCCGTTGGCCAAATCCCAGCGTACGGCTGGCTGCAGTAGAGGCCACTGGGCCACCAGTGAGTGATTTGAGAAAGTCTTCCTTCACATGCACACACCTGATTTCTAACGATAGTCGTTGTTCTGCAGCAGTTCTGCATGTGAGCATTTCATCTGGAAGCAACAGAGCAAAGCGGTTCACAGAATTGGGCCGTTTCCACAACCGTCGATTGAGAACAAAGTAAGGTATGGCTGCTGTGAAGCAGCCGTTGGTCTGGGGACGGCTTCAAGAGCTCACGCAAAACCTGAGCTTTTTGCACGACCAGTTTCTTTTCACATCGGTTTGGTCGGGTTTTCACGACTTGAGCATGCACGTGGCGACGGGGTCGCATGTGTCTGGGAGGCCCTTGGCCGATTTGGTCGTGCGGCTGCAAGGCGTTGGGGATTGGTCGCAACATGCCCACTAAGAATGGTGGCGGCATGGGCTTTTGGAGAGGTGCTTTGTATTGCTGTCTATGTACATAAAAGCATCTCAACAACACAGGCATCATGTTTCAATACTCCTTTTCAAGAATCGCACGGGGATGACCACTTGGTTACAAACATGTTGGAATAGCCAGCAAAAGGCGCTGGAAGGCCACTTTTGCTTCTTATTGCAGCCATCATGGCCCAAGACCGTCTTGGGCTGAGCAGAAGGTGCTCAGAGGTCACTTGGACTACTAGGCGGAGCGAAGCACAGGTGGAGCAGCGCTTCTGGTTCATGAGCTGACTAGTTGCTTTCGTTGACCCCTCCTGAGGCTGATTGAAGAGGAGAGATGTTTGATTTCGGCAATCTCGATGACATTGAGGAGAATGCCGAAGCCTCACCCGAACATGCTGCTAGAGTTGTTCAGATGCCCTGAAAGCTGAGTGCTTCATGACGAAGCTGTTAAAAGGTGTTGAAGACTTCTTATAAGTTGCAACTGGCGCGTGGCCAGACTTTCAGATTGTCGTGTTGAATAGATGCAGTTTCGATCCCGCTGCACAGTCATGACCTGTGAGAGGTCATAGCAATCAACCTGTAGGTTGGCTTTAACAATCCTGAGGCCGCAACCCCTGAATGGATGAGTCTTGGCGTTGATCGAAGCGAGAGTGAATGAGTGTACTCCACATACTGGTTGCATGGACTTCTTTGAGGGCATCCTACTCCATCCCTTGTGCTGTGGCTGATTAGTGTGGGCTCATGTGCCACACCCAGGAAGTGGCAAGGCGTTCCGCAATGGCAGCGGGCACCAATGGAGTGCGAAGCCATCCTGGAAGATCGGGAGGAAACCTTCGCGGCACCTGAGATGCCGCAGGCGCCGGGGTTCAGATGTTTGGAGACTTTTTGTTATTTTTCTTGTTTTTTTTCTTCATATTTTGTCTTCTTTTGTCTTTGGGTATTCTTCAACGTCCCCTTTTTGAATGAAGACTTATATATATATATGATTCTTCGATGAGTCATGTAGTTCATGCTGCAAGGAAGATAGAACTCCTTTGTTGATGGTCAGGAAGTTCGATCAGTTCATGTCCAAGCACGATTGAACTTAAACTTTCGTTTGTGTTCAGGGATCATTTGTACAAGACCTCGTGCACCTTGACAGAAAGTGTGGCCATCCTCGTGTGAGTTACCAGTACTATGCCAAACAACAAGCGTTTTTTTCACTGGGACACTTGTGGCATGATGCCAGGAAGAATTCACCTTCCTGGCCATTGAAGTTCCAAGTTTGCCACCCACTGCATTCGATCCGCTGGCGCTGGTGGATGAGACTGCGGATGCTGTGGAGGAGAGCCTGGCAGCGTTGAATGGGCAGGCGCGACCGAACATGGCCTTGTGATTTTGATGCTGGCTGCTTTCCTGGCTTTGTTGTCGTTTACACAGTAGCGTACGTACGCAGGCATTTATTGTTATTGAAATCTTAGTTGATTTCATGAAATCCTGCGCAGGTGATTGTAAACTTTGCGACCAGTGCGGTTGAGGAGTTCATGATTACAAAGCGTCAACGGGAAGAGTACAAGGCAGTTGTCCGTCCGCCACTTCATGCGATAGAGTTGTGTTGTTCGAGGAAACGACGTTGATGTGGACAGACCAGGGTCCATTGCGCTTTCTTTTCTTCTTGGGCAGCAAGTCCTTAATTATGTGCCCCCCTCAGCGTCTATGTCACATCATCCAGTTATTTGCTCAGTCTTGAGTCTTGATGAGACTCAGATCAAAGTTGAGTGGTCTTTAAACTTCAACAGCAAGAAGAAGAAGCCTCTGTATAGTAAGCGCCTCGGCCAGACCCAGTCTCTATAGTTGGCCTAGTAAACAGTGGAGAGAAGCTGTCAATATTTTTGGGCAGGCGTACATTGACCATCTACACCAACAACGTTTGCAGTATTTGGACGCGAAGAAGTCGGACAAGATGACTAAGCTCGGCCTTGAGGGCACAGGAAAAGATAAGACCACTGCCCCGTGAGGGGCTCAGCACCAAAAACATCTCTTTTTCTATTCCCTTCTGGTTTGCAATTCTTTTTTCTCGTTCCCTTGTTTGACCTTGGACAAGATAACGGAGAAGAGGGGGTGGAAGCACAGCTGGCCAAGGGTCCTTGACCGAAAGCCTTTTGCCTGGCGAGAGCTCAAGAGTGTGCTTTCTTCGAACACTGTGCAGATGCCAAAGGACAGAGAGAGAAAGAGAGACGGGGATCGAAGAGGATTGGGGGATTCGGGATTAGGTCTAGTTGTGGGTCCTACACTAGTAGCCGCGTCAAACTGGCAACAGCTTCTCAACCAAGGAGGAGAAGGGTACGACACAATCGTCTTGACCGTGCTCGAATAAGAGTTGAACTGCTCATCTATACAATAGTAGCCAAATGTGGGTACTGGACATGTCCTGACACTCGGCGTTCGATCAGTCAGGGTCGTCCTTTGGGGCCACTATCGTGACCTTAAGAACGATGACAGACAAGGACTTGACAAGTGCGGCAGTGGCTGCCAAGGGCAGCCAAGCGGTTGCCTTGCATGTTTTCACCATCCAAAGGACCAAGAAAAAGTCCTCCGATGTGCAGGTAAGACTATTCGGGCAAGACCCAAACAGTATTGGTGGAGCTGGTGGTGCCAACACAAACTGGATCAAGTGCCCCAGTCTTCTCTGTGCACCTAATGACTCGCAGAACCTCATGTCATGAGCGCTGTTTCTCCCAGGAATTGTTTCCCCAAAGCCCTCGCCGCGCGTTCGTCGCCCTCTGTCAACTCTAACGATCAAGTCATGCACTAGCTTCTTGTTACTACTAGTAAGGCACTTGTTACTAGAAGCGATGCACTTGTTTCTACTAGCTTCTTGTTACTATCAAGTGTTCGGACTTGGCAGGATTCTTGGATGTCCGAAGCTGTTCTGACGTCTTCGCGGAAGATCACCAAGTCTCTGGTTCCTGTGGCCACAGGCATCGAGCCCCAAAGAGGTTTGCCCAGCCTTGGATATGATTTGGTGTTTAAACTGGAATCCTCTTGAAGGGGACTTTGGCATGTGCAGTATTACTACAGTATGTTTCTACAGCTGTCGAAGACTGTGGAGCTGATGCTGCGACCCATTCGCTGGTCTTGATGTCAGATCTCATACTGTAACTGTAAGTGATTGGACAACAAAACAAACTCACCAAACCAGTTGCAAAGGGCCTGAAAGTTGAGCAACCAGACAGATTGCAGTAAGGCGTGGCGGTTTTCCTCCTCCTTGGCCAGTGTGGCCCAAGAAATCCTTTCTTAAGTTGAGAAATTCATCTCTTGAGACAAGTTTCATTCATCTCTTGCAGGTGCCATGCTCCCACCATCTGTGCTGGTGCACATGCTTGTGAGCCTGGGCTCGCAAGTGCGACCCGATCCCGCAGGCCGCTGGGGGCGCAATGCGGTGTGACCTGGCCTGAAAGATGCAAGTGGTTCGGTTTGTGCGGCCTCACTCCCGCTTCCAGCATTCTTTCTGAATGGATCTTTGGGGTGAACCACCGCAGATCCTGGATTGTTTTGATGGTACTTGCAGCTTGGTGCTTCTTGCGAAGAGACTATTATGTCTTCGGTGTGTGTTTGATTTGTGTTGCTTTCTGAAGAGAAAAGAGAGCTTGAAGCTACCTAGAGTTATGCAATCAAGATGAACTGGAAGAGTGCTTCAATGTGCTTCTATTCCGATTTGAGGCGACATCTAGCAATCACAGATGTCTTCTTTCCAACTGGAATGGTCTTGAGCGAATCATCCGACATCATTAACCAGAAGAAGGAGGCACCGACGTTGGTGCATTTGGTCGCTATGTCTGTGAACAAGGAGAATGGAGATTTGGAAGGCCGCATGGTTGGGGGTATGAGCAACAGTTGAATTATATGGGCATTGAACAATTTCCAATGTTTATATACTAATCCAAGTCATATCAAATCTACCATATCAAGAGAGAATTGGCTTGGATCTACTGTTGTGCCCAAGCGTCCCGACGAAGGTTGCATGTACAGTCCCGTCAGCAGCTTTTGCTGAGGCAAGCACTTGCTTGAAAACATCAAGCTTCCATCACCGTCGAGTTACCCATCAATCAAGCCGCGATATGCCATCAAGAGATAGGGATGAGACTCGAGGTCATCTTATCGGACTGATCCTGCAAGCAGTTTGTTGCCTTCCCGTATGTACAGGTATTGCTCTTCCGTTCCTCCGGAATGTGTTCCTTGTGGTATTCTTCTTGTTGAATACAACACTGTGATGCAAGCTGTGAGGATCTTGGGGTGGAGGGATGGCAAGACACAACAAAATCTTCCAATTTCTAACCAATGGTGAGCTTTCAATGGATAAATAATTGACACTTGAACGTTTGTATGCTGTACGAGCCAGTCTGTCTTTGCACGTCAACATCGCGTGATATTTGACGACATCTACTGCGGGAGAAAAGGTCGATCCCAAGTTGGCGATCGACAGCTGCCCTGGGGCTGGATCTGCACCATCTACTTGCATTGACGTCCCTTCTCATCTGGGGAATTGGCAGAGTCCAATGATTGCAAGATGCAAACATGGATTTGGCCCTTCCCCCTTCTGACTCCTTCCCCTTCTAAGCTGGCGCCTTCCTTTCTAACGCAAGGCATGCTGGGAAGCTGGTGAAGGTGGCTTCTGATCCAAAGCTCCAGGCTCCGACAGACCGACGGAAGCTTAGAATCCTCAGGGTCAGACGACGTGAGTTGACTCATACGTAGCGGTTCAGCCATGTTCGGCCCCTGGATATCCTTGGCCCTGTGGCCTTCTCACTTCGGTGAGGGCGAACGTTAGTCTTGATGAAAATGAGTGTGAACAGCTTTGCAGCTAGTAACATTCGTTTCTTTGCAAGGAAATAGTTAATAATTAGTGGTTCCACGATTTGAAAGGAGCCAAAGGGAAGAATCTTGCAGACTGTTGGGTAAGTCTATGTGGACACACAAACACACACATGCGTTTGGAATCCTTGTATTTGTCTCATGGGCATTTGGATGGCCAAAGACCTTGGCAGGATGATGAGCTCAAGGTGGCAGCGGTTGCTGCACTGGGCCAGGCGTGGTGTCCTGGGCCAGGCGTCGTATGTTCCGCCGTGTCGTTTTTTTTGGGTTCCAGAAAATCCGACTCCAAAGCTCCGTCGAGCAGCGGCCGTCGTTCCCCTTCGTCGACCAGCTAGAGTCGTAGGTTCGGACGCTGAGAATTGTTTGGCCTCCACCCTAGTAGCGATGGCCTCCAACCTACTAGCTAGCGATAGCCTCCAACCTACTAGTATTAGTAGAAGAGTTGCATTCTTTGGTGGAGTGCTGCGTTGCATGGGATGAGCCGATTTTGACCGATCCAGATCCATAGCAGGTGGGTGGTGACCTTACTCAAGTGCCCTCAGTGGCCTCGCTGCTCTCGGACAAGTCACCACATGTCCAAGGACTCTTGGCCGAAGTAGAAACCTATACACTAGTTAGATTTAGCAAGTGGAAAACCAAGGGCCAAAGGTACAGTTATATACTCAGCTCAGATGCTAGTCCTGCAACAGTCGATATGTGAGTGCAATAATGATAAAGGACAGAACCAACATCAAACCACATTCAACTTCACTGGTCAGCACTTGGCAGCGAAACACACTTTCCGCTGAGGTGCAGCGTGCTTGACGCTTACCAGCCTGCCTGCTGCAGTAGGGTTGGTCGTTTCTGTCGGTAGGGGGTGAGATCGGGAGCAGTCTGGCAACAACTCCTGTTGACCTTTGCAAGGTTTGAACCAGGTTCTTGCTCAAGGGAACAAGCACCTTCTGAGGCCCCCTGCGCCAACTTATCGATATTAGGGAGGTTGAAGAAGCTGAGAGCCTGGCTTGGTATCCAGGGATCTACGTTGAATTTCCAATTCCACCAATGAACGCTGAGGCTTGGGCCCCTTCGCTGAGGAGCACACGCAAAGCATTGCTGCCAAGCTTGAGCAGGAGAGAGTCGCGTCGCCGAAGTCCACCAGCGGCGTTGACCACGGAACATGAACCGAATAGCAGGGATTAAGGGGTCCCGGTTTTGACCCAGAGCCATATGTATCAGTGTATCGGTATGTATCATATTCCTGGGAATAGCTGCAACCCTTAGGAACGTTGGATGTCGCACGCCACGGAGCAGGATGAAACCCGTTTGGCTGCAGCAGCTGCTTTGGCGAAGCTCCCTCCCGGGTCCGCCAAGCCTTTTGTGAAAGACATCGTCTCCAAGGTGCCGACCTGAAGAGGAACGGAAGGAACAGGAGGACGCTACTAGTAGCTAATGGCATTACTACTAGTAGCAAGAAGCTACTAGTAGCTAAGGACGCTACTAGTAGTAATGCTAGTAGCTTTTGTGGTGGATCGTGGTGGAACCATTGAAGCCCAAGAAACCATTGCAGCCTTTGTGCTGTACACAGGCGCTGGGCGATGGTGACCCACAAGTTCGGGAGGCGGCCGTGGAGGTTCTTTCCAAGGCAGATGCCGAGGTCTTCGAGGAGTGTCAAGGCAGGGACATGCCCAGGTCTGTGAGCTAAGTGGGTTTGTTTTGACCAAAATGCCACTTGGAACCTAGCTGCTAGCTAGGAGAAACGATAGACAGATAGGCTACCTAACTTTCTGGTTGTCCATTTTTTCAAGCACGTCCATGTACAAAATGATCTGCAATCACTACGATCGGGTTAGGGCAAGTTGATTGTCGTTCTGCCGAGGTGGTTCAATTCAAGCAGATTGGGTTCTCCCCCCTACACACAGACATCATCAACCCTTAGTTCAGATGTTTGGAAATCCTCACGACGGTTTGAATTGAGGGTGCTCAGCGTGTTGTTTGCATGGGCATCAGGTTGAATCAGAAAACATCTCCATTTGAGATGAAGTTGCTTCAAGAGATCTTCCAGTGACCTCGGCAGGACCTTTGACCGAACTGCTGAAGCACAAGCACCCTGGAGTGCTGATCTCAGGTGAAGGCCTGGATTTCTGAAGAAGGCACTGCTTACTTTCAGCATGAACACATGATTCGTGGTGAAAAAGAGGGCCTTGCTAGGGGTGGCTCTCCGTGGTTGACTTGGTGTTAGGTCCAAACCTAGGCCTTGGACACTTGTTCTGGGCCAAAATCACCCCAGGCCCAGGCCTCATGCCGAGGTTCGTGCCTGTGCGGCGCTTTGCTTCGCACACTTCGGGGCGAAGGCGCTCCCGGCGGCGGGGGAGATCGCCCAGCTCCTGACGGATGCCGAAGAGGAGCGGGGAGCGGACACCTTTGGTTGGAAGGGCACTAGTTCCACGGGTCTACAAAGAAGATGACACTATTAGAACATATTTGAGCTTGAGTCAGGTGTGAGAGAAGCTTATAAGATATAGGCTAGGTGTAATAGGTTCATTGTGTGAGATGAGTCGTCCCAAGTTGGATTTATGTTCAATACTTTTGGAGTTTTTGACGCAAAGGGGTTTTGATCCAGTTATAAGTTACAAGGCTTTTTGCACTGAAGGGAAGCACTCATGAAGTGGCATAAAATGTTGTACCCGCGAGCCTGAAAGACAGGACTTGTCTTGGCTCCCGCTACACTTAGGCCGTGGCCTGAATTCACACACAATCATGCTCCACCAAGGGTTCTGGAAGTTGAATGTCGCATTGATGGGAGTTCCTTCCACTCCACCCCCTGAGCACAAGGCGTGAAAGGTTCTTTGTAGAATCCCTTCAATTGAGGGTGTTCACCCGAGCGGATTTGGCTGAGAGTGGTGGCCCAAAAGTGCTCTAGCCATGGCCCTCCGTAGATTTTGCAGATGGGCCATGGATACCATATGTAGTTCAACTGTAGTTCAGTGCCATACAACATTCTAGAGAGAGGAACCCATAGCAAATGACACTTGATGGAGAGGGGATGTGGTAAGCTAGCAATGTGCTTCCACTGTTCCAGGATTTGCAAGGAAGGCTTTGCTCGTTTTGGTACTTCTTACTTGCAATCATGTAACCCAGCTCGCGCGATAGACCTCCGACGAAGATCCGTCCAAACACCCTGCCAGTGCACCCGGAAACGTAGAACTTGGGCCCAGTCAATGGTAATGTTCAAGGCTGGTTGGTGAGCCTGTGATGAGGATCAGCCTATATTGTCCGCGTAACAGTGGGGAGATCTCCAGATCCAAGTGAGGGGAATCACCCGCACGCCTGAGAGGGCCAGCATGGCCACAACTGAGCAGATATCCCTCTCTGGAGACCCAGTTCTGGAAGTTGACTCAAAAGCATTGAACGCTTCATAACACTTCTCAGGGTGGTCCTCCATGCGAGGACTGTCTCCTCAGCATTTCATGCAAAACACGGAACACCGCAGTCTAAGAAGCACCAGGAAGTAGATCAGTGATAATTGTTGGTTTTGAACCCATATTTGGAAGCTGGGCAATGCTATTATTCCCCAGATAGCGAAGCTATGGGGTTCTTACTTCAAATAACATGAGTTGCCCGTGCGCGCTTTCGAGACAGGTTGCTGGTGCTGGTGCCGGGTGCCGGTGCTGGTGCTGTCTGTGAGCTGGCTGTGCACGCTGGTGCTGTGAGCTGGCTGCGCGCGTGGTGGAGACAGGTTGCTGGTGCTGGGCGCTGGGTGCCGGTGCTGGTGCTGACTGTGCACGTGGTGGAGACAGGTTGCTGGTGCTGGTGCTGGGTGCTGGGTGCCGGTGCTGGTGCTGTGAGCTGGTGCCGGGTGCTGGTGCTGGTGCTGGGGCCGGTGCTGGTGCTGTTGTGCACGTGGTGGAAACAGGTTGCTGGTGCTGGGTGCCGGGTGCCGCTGGTGGTGCCGGGCGCTGGTGCTGTGAGCTGGCTGTGCACGTGGTGGAGACAGGTTGCTGGTGCTGGTGCTGGGTGCCGGGCGCCGGTGCGGGTGCTGTGAGCTGGCTGTGCGCGTGGTGGAGACAGGTGCTGGTGCTGGTGCTGCCGGTGCTGGCGCTGGTCCTGTGAGCTGGCTGCGCGTGAGGTGGAGACAGATTGCTGGTGCTGGTGCCGGGTGCCGGTGCTGGTGCTGTGAGCTGGCTGTGCACGTGGTAGTGGACTGGTGCTGGTGCCGGGCGCCGGTGCTGGTGGTGCTCGTTGTGTGCGTGGTGCAGATTGGGTGCTGGTGCCGGGTGCTGGCGCTGGCTGTGTGCGTAGTGGAGACACGCCACGCTGTATTGCATGTAAAAATTGGAGCTGCTGCCAATGCAGGGTGCAGCCCAGAAAAATCTTTTGCATGCATTTGCTATCTGGGGTCTATGCTGGAGTAACTTTTCTTAGCTACTTCAGTTCTTGCGACGCAAAACGACCAGCGAACCTCGGAGACCGAGGCGGCACCCGGCGCCGCGAACCGGCGGAGCGGCGGAAGCCGCGCTGCGCCGCGGTGCTGGCCCTGGGCGCCATGTGCTCGCAGGAGCCAACATGGCGTGAGGCAAGCAGAGTTAGGTTCCTACAGTTTTTGTAGCTCAAAAAGAGCAAACAGGACACTTGTTAGTAGCAATATTTTTGCTACTAGTAGCGATGCGGCGATGCCCTTCTTCCTAGTAGCGATGCACCTTGTTACTAATAGCTTCTAGCTACTAAGTACGGTTTTGTTTCCAACTTGCACATTTTGGTTGATTCTTGCTAGACGGCTTCGGATGGCAAGAGGCTTCCCGTGCATGAATTGGTCCGAGCAACTCGCTGGACCCAACTCAACGTCCTCACAGTCCAGCCAGCTGGGCATCAACAAAACCATCGTTCGAGCTTGTGCTTCTGGCGCCTCTTGTCCAACTTCAGAACACTTCATCAACCCACCCAACTTCTTTGACAGTGTCCTTTGCAAGGGAAGAAAAACACTGGCCATAGTCCAACCAGGAGCATGGAGCAGCAGTTCAAGAGCTGCTGGATGAGGGTGACTGGGAAGTGCGTTCCTGCACTCTGGAAGCCCTAGCAGGCGTGGTTGGCACCCGTCTGCTTGAGTGCTCCCAGCATAGTCACCAGGTATGACATTGTTAAACTGACAAAATTCGAAGGAAGGAATTGACCAAGTGTCATCCCATGTCGGCTGAGCTGGACCAACTTGGAGCAAGCTGGATGGCAAAGACACAATGCTGGGTGCTTTCCCTTCTGGGTGCAATGAGACATGTCCGAACCTTCCAACCAGTTCAGCACAGGCTACAGCTCCTCTGATGCGGACCTCATTGAGAGGACCGAGGGAACCACCGGAGATGGCTCAAACGGAAGTCTCCCATGCACATCATTCATGCGATGCGAGGGCAGTCCCCTTTTTTTTTTGTAACATGAGCCTTAGATTATTTTTTGCGTTCACTGGTTGATACAGGGACATGTGAAGCATGTTGCGATCCCCCTTCTCTGACATGATTTGCAGTGGATCTTCCAGTTTCAAGGATACGAAAGGCGCAGGGACCTATATAGTTCAATATAATCCTATACATCTGTGGTGGGCACTTCATGATTTTGTTGGATCCACTTCTGTGCAGTGAAGGATTGTAGACTGCGGCTAGGATTGCGGCATTGTTGGATGACGACACCTATGCCGTGCGAGCAAAAGCCTGCTTCTTGTTGGGCAAAGTGCAAGCGACGAATCAAGCGGACTTGCCCTCAGCAGTGATGGCGTAGGACGACTGAGTGGACGGAGGCAGATTCTGCTTGGAAGAAGGACGCTTTGCTGGCTTGCCCCCTTTTTTAAATCTTGGGTATATGCAGATGGTTTGGCTTGCAGGCATTTACGACTGAAGGCACACTTCACCAATTTTGGTGATTGGTGAAAGTGAAACGAACAACACAATTCAGACCTCCCACACTCTCTGCTGCCCCGGTTTCTGGACAACCAGTCTCGACTAGTTGTCGCCAGTGCCGCCTGGTGCGCCCAGGATCGCCTCTCCGAGATGCTGACGGATAAGTCCCAAGCAAGGGCCCAATGCGCTACAGCAGAACGGTGCAGATCATTTTAGCAGTTCAGTTTAAGTCCTTTGGTCTATGGTAGGTGGTCAATGAAACCAATTGAAGCAAACGTTTATGCAGCAGGACACTTTTCCAGTCTTGAACACGTTTGCTGAGAGCAAGTGTCCTATTGACTTCTGACCTCTTGTCTTCCAGATTGACCAGCCATGGATCAACTATATCAGATGAACACACGTTTGCTCGCTTCCTTTCGGTTGAATCAAACGTTTGTCCGTTCGCTCTGTGCAGCTTCCTAGTTCTGCACCCATGCCGAGGCCGTTCGACGGGAGGCGGTGACTGCGCTGGGAACATTCGGCTCCGCAGCTGCCACCTACGCCTACGAGGCGCGACGCTTCACCCGACGCAGGAGTGTTGGTGTTGTTGTTGTTGTTGTTGTTGTTTCGTTTTTTTAGACGATCCAGAAAAACGCGGTGCTTCTTTTTTTGAAAGCATTTTAAGTGATCCGTGATTTGGATAATGATTGTTATTTATGGGGCTGATTGGCAAAGAGCAACCATTTTACTGCAGGTGGCCTGCCTTCTGCTCAGCGATCCTTCTGGCAAAGTTCGATCTGCTGCAGCTTTACACTCAGTTTCTCAGTGCACATTGCCAGCGATCTTTTATACAGGAGTAGATGTTTGGAAGAAGACATTTAGCACTTTTACAAGAAATGCACCCGGTCATTGTCATCCTGCGCCCGATGAGCCAATGAGCAAACCTAGCTCATTGGAAACTGATTCACACCATACCAAAGCTTGCAAGGAGCTTCCTGAGATTTATGCTGACTGCTGATGCAAAACTACCTGCAAGACATCCCCAGCTCTGATCTCACTCTTTGTAGAACGCGGGTGGCTTGATGGATACGTCCTTCAGGCCAAGGCGCTTGGTGCTTTGGGCGAAAGTGGAAGGCGATGCTCTTCCTGGTTGCTGTGTCTCAGACTGTTGCAACCGTTCAGAAAGGTGGAAAGAAAGGTGCACGAGACACGAGACAAATGCAGAAAGGTTGGCATGCCTTGAGGGCTGTGACCCTTTTTGCACACTGGCCACAATGTTGGGCGAACTTGCATGATTCGGGTCGTTCTTATTTTCAACTACCGAGCTTGACTGGGTGTGACTGGATGGCATGACCAATACGCGCAAACGGCTTGACTGGGTGGCGTGGCATCCATGGGATATGTGTTCAAGCATTTTAGAATGGGACACTTAGACTGGAATGCCTCGCCCATAGAATTTCATAGACTGAATGTATTTCTTGCCTCACCAAGTTGGAAGAAGGGTTTGAGTCTGCCAGGCCGTATGCAAGCGCTGTGGCGATGCAGCTGAGTGACGTAGATGCGGAGACTCGCTCTGAGGCCCATTTTAACTGGCTGAAGCTTCTTAACCTGGAGAGGTGTTCAGAGTTCAAACAGCAGGCTGACGAATTTGTGCATCTTCAAGTTGGATTCTGCGAGTGGGAAATGATGCATTTGTTGCCAGAAGTGGCTCAGATCAGCAGGATCAAGCCATTCTTCTAGAGCAGACAGCAGCATGGATGGATCCAAACTGTTGAGGAGGAGCAATTGCAAAGAGCAGACAATGGCTGGGGAATATTTTGTTTGACATTTCCTCAGGCTTCAAGGTGCTTCAAATACCTGACTAAATCACAATTACCCTGTAGGTGACCCATGACCGCCGAAAGGGAACGATGTGTGAAGCTCCTTTTGCCGTTTTGTGACGCCCGGGAGCTGGTGTGCATCGAGGCGAGCTCCAAAGTACAGCATGAGTGGGTCGAGAAGGCAGACCTTTGGGAAGCCCTGTGCAAGGCCTACACAGCTGACCCTGGTGAGTGGAGAACTCAACGGGGAAGGAAAGTGGATTGGCCTTCTAAAGATGGTGACACAGGCAAAGATTGGTTTTCGAGGCTTTATTACGTGCACACGTTGATTACCAAGCATGATGCGGTCATGTGCGACAAGTGCGGCGAGTGGGGTGCTACGGACCTCGACTTCTTTGAATGTGAACAATGCCAAGGGACCTGGTGTGATGGCTGCGCTGAACGCGGGCCTGACAAAAGATTTGTGCCTTGCAACAGGTGCCCAGATTTCTCTCAAACCATTTGCTTTGAATGCTTCGCAGATGGTAAGACGGAGCGTTGCGAATGTTCAGGTACTGACAGCTGGCACAGCTGTTGTGGCCGCCATGCTTTCAGCTGCGAACGCTGCGATACTACGTTGTGCGATGGTTGTGCTGACCATCACGACTGCCCAGTACAGTCAGAACAGGAAGAAGACGAATAGAATGATGACGAGGATGACAAGAAAGATGAGCAGAAGAAAGGATGACCAAGAATGACTTCAGACCCCATCTGACACCTGATAGTCATGCCTTTGCACGAGGATGACAAAGCTGCGTCGAATACCAAAGCTGAGCATGACTGAACACGACTTTTGGGGCCTTTGGACATGGCCCATTTTCTTCGGTTCTGCGCTGGAATAACTGGTCAAAGCCTCCATTTCGATTCGCATGTGCAGTACGGCCAGGCCTGCCTGGCGCTAGGGCAAATGGGGCAGTACGGCTTGGCCTTTGCTGAGGCACAGCGACAGCCGTTGGGGGGGACAGCGCACAGCTCGCAGGTCAGCACGACCTGCGCCGAGCTGTTGTCTTTTCGTTTTTTGTTTTTCTGTGAGCTGCCGAACGACGCCGAGCTGTGCTTTCAGGTTTTGAACGTAGGATCTTTTTTGAGTCAAGTGGACATACCTGTGCCGCTATGTGCCATTGCATACTTCAGCTCTGGCAGGAGTTGGAAAACGTCATGCAGGCCAAGCCGTCCTGGAGTCCTGCAGATGACTTTCACAAGCTCGCTTTTGCTCGTTTTGACTGGGTCTTTGTATGCTCTTGAAGCAATCAAGAAGGGTCTACCAGGTCTGCAACTGGCCACTTTCTTGGGAATTGTGGACAGGACCATCTCATTCATCCGCCTGAAGTGAAGGCTTCTGCGAAGCAGGCCATGGGGTTGTAGGTTGCTGGATTGGAGTGAGGAATCACCGATATATATATATATATATGATGACTTTCTTCTTTTTTCTTTCCTTTTTTTTTTTCTTTAATTCATCAGACTTGCACGTCCTGCCGTGCCCAAAACAGCGCATTCTTCTGTGTGTTCCTCCACAGGCATTGATCCTCCTAGGTCGCCTCCAAGAAGCTGTGGAGGTGGGACGGTGGCACCGCGGTGGGACGAGATGCGACAGACGCCCAAGTAGCGAGGATTGTTTATAGCAATGGCCTCCACCCCAGTAGCGATGGCCCCCAACCTAATAGCAATGGCCTCCACCCCAGTAGCGATGGCCCCCAACC